AGGTGATATTCTGCATGTATCAAGCTGACGCTGACTTACATTATTCCGACTGTGATCGCGCCACCACCACTGAGCCCCGTCAAGTATGTTAGAATCTGTGAGAGACCGCCTGTTCGCGAAGCAATCGCCTGGGGATTTCGCGCATCATATGCCTGCCAGATGCCCAGGCCGCCGAGCCCCGACTGCGTGCCGCCACCTGAGATTGAAAGGCCGACAATGGGAAGATTGGTGCCATTAATCTGGTTAATGTATTGTTGAACATCAAAGCCACTGATATTGGCAAGAGTCAAGTAGGACTTGAGCTCAGGAATGATTTGCTTGGAGTGCAAGTCTCGCCATGATTTTTCAGTGTCAGACAAGCCCTGTGCTGCCAGTCAGTTTCAAACAATGTACCAGAGTCTTAATAAAATCAATTAACACACAGTTGAAGCTGCCCGGATGGACAAATCCTTGGGACATGAGGTGTAGACAGGGGCGTACGGGTCTGGTCCGGATCCCTGGGCTTGGACTTGCGCAAAGAAGAACTGTAACAAAATGAAGAAGTGAGCTAAGACGCTCGGATTATTCATCGTGGCTACTATATTCTTAATACGCGGAGACTTAAAGTTGTGTCGTCTTTTCTGTCAAATTTGGTCTCATCTGCGGCAACGCAACAAGTTTATTAAATCCTCATGGAAAGAGAAACCCTCCTCATTATTATACGTAGAGCCACCAAAAAATTCCGAGCAATCTGCAAACAGAGTATCATATGAGTTCTTCAATGGCTTGCAAGTTTCTCCTCACTTGATAAGCTTTGGCGGTAGATCACATTGGAATGTAGATCAATCGGGTCCCGCTCGGATAAAGCAACGCGCCAACTATCAGACTTCATGAGGTGTAGTGGGAACTTTGAAACGAACCAATTCATCCGTGGCTGATCCAGCTGTACATGAGCAGCACTCAATCGTGGGAGACCAAACAGTCTATGATCTAATGTTCAATGACGGTGAGTACAGTAGTGAACTCAAATGGCCCGGTCTTCAGCTGGTACTGTTCCCATGGGCCTGGACCGCAGCTGCCTGTCCCGAGACCATGCTGGAGGTGATCCAAATTGAGGACCGTTTCATCAAGCTCAGTCAACTCGTGCGGGTGTCTCGACTTGTCCAAGTCGTCGGTCGCATGCTTCCGCAGAGAGAAGTGGAAAGGAGTCTCCATCCTGGCTTCGATTGTGGCACCGCCATGCTCACCGGGTGTGGCAGATTTGATACGCAACCACCGGGTATCAGCACGATTTCCATTTTCCTGCGGCCACTCGTAGGCGGTATTGAGCTCGTCGATGGATGAATTCCACCGGCCAAAGCGGGCCGAAGCCTTCTTGTCCAGATAAGATTCACCCGGTCCACGACCGAACCATTCTGCTGCATTATAATACTTGGGCAACGAAAGAGTAAGACCGACGCGCGGCATGATTTCGGGATACGTCCCAGAGAAGCTTCCCTGGGTGTGGAGATGGACCGATCCCTCACTTATCGTATATGTCATTGTGGCATTGCATGCCCATTCCAGCACGGTAGGTTGGACTCGAACATGGCTAATGATGATGACTTTTCCATTTTCCACTTTCCATGTAGCAGAACGAACATGCATCTTAGCGCTGCCGACCCGGAATCGTTGCCAGACGGGTGCATCACCGCTCTCACCCACGTCATTCTGGGTCAATGCTCGGTACAAACCCAATTCTGGGCCCTTGGTCAGGATCTTGCCTTCGTCGTTTGACCATTGTAGGTTGCCTCGGATCAAGTCAAAGGTCAGGTGAGATTTGAAAGATGGAGAAGTAATGAAAAGACGCGCACCCTTCTCGCGAATGCTGAACAGTGAACCTGGCTCCGACGGAACCGAGGGCAACGTCAGTTGCTGCTCTTCGAACAGAGGGATCTGACTCCAGGCCACCTCATGCCCTTTCTTCGCCCATTTCGTATCGGCCTTAAGGCGGAAATTGAGTGCGAACCAGGTCGAATCTGTACCCAGACTAACACCGCTGGGGAAGCCAATAGTGGCTGATTCTCCCCCCTTTACTAGCGGTAGCTCAAATGGCTGGGCCTCAGTATTCCCGGTTTCCTGGACTAGATGCCAAGTTACGTCGAGGTGTCCGAGATCAATAAATTCATAGTGATTTCTCACTATCAATTGATCGCCGTCCTTTGTGACCGTGACGGGTTCGATTACTTTTTTGTACTCCACCAAACCTGGATTTGGGGTATGGTCGGTCCAGGTCATTCCGTCCATTACAAAATCAGCATCATTAGGCTCATCGCCAAAGTCACCGCCATAGGCATTGTAGAAAATTTTGCCATCGCGCGTTCTCAGTCCATGGTTGCACCATTCCCAGATAAAGCCACCCTGGAGAAGCTTTTCGGTTCTGAAAGCCTGGATGTATTCAGACAGGCCGCCGGGACCGTTGCCCATGGAATGGCCAAACTCGCACTGGATCAGTGGTCGGTCTGTCTTCTCGGTGATGTGCTTCTTCATACCATCCAGGCTGGCGTACATGACGCTATACATGTCGGCGCTCAGGGCCTCGCGATCTCCCTCATAGTGAACCAGCCTGGTCGGGTCGTTCTCCTTGATCCATTTGTACATTGCCGCGTGGTTTTGGCCGTAGAAGGCCTCGTTACCCAGGGACCAAAATACAATACAGGGGTAATTTTTGAAACGCTGGACCAATTGAACAGCCCGATCAAGATATGCTTCGCGCCACTCCAAATTGTCTGAAGTCCATTTTGCGGCCAATTTGTAAGATTCTTCTTGGATCTCAACGCGGGTTTTGAGATTCTGGTCCTTGATGTTGGATCTCTCGACTGGATCAAATCCATGCGTTTCAAGGTCTGCCTCAGCGATAACATAGAGGCCGAGCTCGTCGCAGACCTCATATAGACGGGGATCGTTGGGTTGGTGCGAGCAGCGGAGGGCATTTATGTTGTGTTGTTTCATGAGGATCAAATCTGCCTTCATACACTCGTACGGGACTGCACGCCCGTAGAGCTGATGATGTTCATGGCGATTCATACCGTAGAAAATAATCGGCTTGCCGTTGATGAAGAAATTCGGGTCCTTGCGCTCAATGCGACGGAAACCGATTCGTTGGCCAATCGTACGCCCAGCAAAGGTCAGGAGGACAGTGTAGAGAACAGGATCCTCAGCCGACCAGAGTTTCAGCGCATCCCCAGTAATGGTAATGACACTGGTCTCCGATGAGGAAACTGAGTCTTCATTGATGAGAGAGCCATCGGGAGCAAATAATTTAACTCTGAGATCACCACCATCGCCCTGAATAGATGCCTTGGTGCTGAGGGTAGCAGAAGAAAAGGTGTCGTCAAGCTCAGGGGTTGCAGAAAAGTCAACGATGGCGTCCTTTGGGAAAGGAACCAAGTAGACATCTCGGAAAATACCCGACAACAGCCATTGATCCTGTCGCTCGATGTACGACCCATCGCAAAACTCATAGACCCGCACGGCAATGGTGTTGGCTTGGCCGGATGGCTGTAGAAACGGAGTAATGTCAAACTCGCTGGGATTTCGGCTTCCCTGGCTATAGCCCACATCGCGTCCATTGACCCAGAGGTGGAATGCACTGTCGACACCTTCGAAGCGCAGGCGAATCTGCTGGCCATCCCATTCACCCGGAACAGTGAAGGTTCGCCAGTAAGATCCGGTCTCATTTAGGTAGGGCACATTCGGAGGATTAACATGGAATGGATAGTTGACGTTGGAGTACAACGGCCGCCCATAGCCTTGAAGCTGCCACAGACCAGGGACTTTGATGTCATCCCAAGACAAGGGCTCGGCTTCTTCCCAGTCAGGAGCCTCAAAGGGCGAGGCATCGTGATGGAATTTCCAAGTCCCGTTGAGAGACTTGTATTCGCTTTGTTCACGGTCAAACGATAGGGCTCCCTCCTCGCTTGCATATGAATAGAAATGTGCCCGCGGGGAGAGCTTGTTCCTATGGAGAACCTGGAGGTTGTTCCAGTCCGGCTGGGCTTTTGGGAATGACATTTCGCAAATTGCCAGTGAAATAACAGAGAGGGAGGGAGAGGAACACGAATCTTCCTATCTCCTTCTCGATTTAATTGCAAGCAGCCGGGGATTGGGGATCGTGGTTCAATGGGTTCTGCGGATGAATGCAGAACTAAGCCGGAACATCCTCCAGCACCACGTTACGGTTTTAAATGGCCGTGGCTAGTGGAGCTTTACTCACCAGCGTACTTGAAGGTATGTCGTCGGCCATTGGATCGTCGCTGCACAGAGACGCACCATGGTTGGAGCGGAAAACCGCGAGGTGGTAGATGTGGAGATGATAAGGCCACACGATGGGGAGAAAACAATGCCAAGAGGGCGGGGAAGGTATCTCGAAGCAGAAAGGCGGGGTTTCTGCAGGTTTGGTTGGACAGCAGGACGCTCCCTACCGAAACTGGTGTACTGGAAGCATGGTGACGACGAGTGAAGTTACTCGGGAGAGGAGCCATGGATCCCGTCCTTTTGCGACAGGTGCATGTGAACGGAAGAGAGCACAAGGTAATGGAGCTGGACGGAGACCCTGGTCCACTACACTTTAGCTCCTTCCGGGGCCCTCAGTGGATGAACGGTACCTGGAGCTGGGCATCTCCAGCGGGCTGCCGCCGGACTCTACTGAGTCAGGGGCTGGCCCGGCCGCTCGGAGTATAAACGACCGAATATCATCCCGACCTCACGACACGCACACTCACACAACAGGGAAAGAGCGATGGTCTGTCCTGGTTTCCTGGGTAAAAGGTGATATGTTGTTCCCTCATGAATTTCTTCTTCTTCTTCTCCTTCCCGATTCACGCGCAAGGTAATTCTGAAATTCAATTGTGAGCCAAAGCTGTTTTTTTTTTCTTTTCTCTTTTTCTTTTTCCTTTCTCATGTTTCTTGTCCCGTCCCATCGTCCATCATTGCATGTCGTGGCATCGTCAAATAGAAATCAGCGGCAGCGGCGCCTGCTATTACAGCGCCTCCGGCCCAGGCAGCAAAAGGGGCGGTCTCCCACTGAGAATCACCCCATCCAACAGCTCCAGTCGATCTTGGCCCCAGAAGGGCTCCCCGTGATAAAAGTAAGTCGGGGCCCCAAAGACACTCCTGTTAATAGCCTCTTGTGATAGGCCTTCTTCCTGCTCCGCCAGTCCACGCTCCTCCTGTGCCCGTGCCAGAAGCCGATTGCCATCAAGTCCCGCGTCGTTGGCAATTTCCATAATAGTGTCGGGATCTGCAATGTTGCCCTCATCTGCCCATACGGTGTCTAGTCCGAGGCGGGCAAATTCCTGGACCGACTCGTTGTCGTGTCCGAGTTCGTCAATGGCTGCCAGGAGCACTCTGTGCGCCAGCGAGGGGTCGGCGGGGTAGTGTTTGGGGTGCTTCACAATCGGAAGTCCCCTGATTTTTGTCCACCGGTCCATCTCAAGGAGCCGGTATGCTTGGCGCTGAACGGAGCGCTCCTTCACAGCCAGACCACCCGAGACAGCGAATACCCTTGCCATGTCGATGGGCTTGTAGATGATTTGCGCATTGTGATGCTGTGCCAGCAGTTGGAGCCGTCGGCTGCCAATATACGACCACAGGGAGACGAAAGAGAAGAAGTACTCAATCACGGGCTGTTGGCTGGTCATTGTAACCTCCCAGCCCAGTGCCGCAAGCTGTTTGAGGGTGTGTGTGGTGGATTGCGTAACAGAAGGGTAACACATTAATTGATTGACTGGCTGATGGCTTGATGAAACGATAAACGGTCTGGTCTGTCAGGGTCGCTGGAAATGTACATGGGCACAGAACTCGCCCGAGTGATGGTTCGTCTGTCTGCTCACCAAGGGCCTCCGGCTGCTTTTCCTACTTCTCTCCAGAATGACGTGGATTGCGGCACGTCGCAGCCTTATGCTGCGACTGCTTGGAGGCGGTTCTATTTATTTATTAATTAGCTACCTAGTCGTGTGAGCATCTTATCACACCCAGATCTGCCCACGCATCGGCCGGCAATCGTTGGCTCATCCGCGCTTGGTGTGGGTCAATCACGCAATGCCCTTCACCAATGTTGTCATTTCAGTCTGTGTAACGGGGTGAACCAAGCCTTTCTCGCTGGCAGGAACTCGGTTTACCAGTCTCGAGACACAGTCGCGACAGGGGAACCGGCAATCGGAGGCTTACAGATGTCATCTGCAGCAGAAGCCATTGGTCCTTTATCAGCCCTTTACCCCCATCCCGGAGCCACCAAGCAATGCAGCCTCTGCAATGTTGCAACTTTTCTTACACATGGAATCACCATTGCCAGGCGCTCCCCCATGCATGCAATTCACATCGCGTGCTTGGATCGAAATTGATCACACTCGTACCCCCACGACGTGTCGGCTCTTGGTTCGATGTCGTGGCAATCACGAAACCTCTCTTACTCATCTCCATCATCATCCCCCTACCGCCAAGCCGTGTTTGCTCTCCGTCTGTGCCTCTGCGGATGTCTTTTTCTGCTTGATGAGACGACGCCACAGTGAGTTTCTCCACTGCGGGTCGTGGCTGTCAAGACCTCAAGCTGTCCTGACATTATTGACTGGCTTCCCTCGAAGCGAACAGAAGCACCTGAGATGAATGTTTGAGACGGACCTTCCTCGACGGTCCCTGAAAGGTAAGATATATCGTTGAATAGCCATGAACGCCTTTCGTGATGCCAGACCGACTCGTCCAGACAACATACAAAACTTACCACCACCTTCCCTCTTCTGTTACTCGAGGATGCGGAGCCCGAATCCACTAGAAAGCTCATGAGATATTAACTCGGCTTGGACCTGTGCGCCAAATTAAACCAGGTCAGATCTATGGAGTGATTTGTTCCTGTCAAGCAACAGGTTAGGTGGTTCGACGAAGGAGGCGCTGGGTCTAGACTCTGAATCCTTTGGTCTCGCGGTCTCGATTTGGCACCAGAAGTCCAATTTCGTGCTTCCTTGGCGGGCTGAGGGTAGCAACACCAATCGTATCGAATGATCCATCCGTAAGCGTGATTGTAGCAGTGTCGAGACTGGCAGTGCATCAAACCACCGTGTTCAAAGGGGGCGCATCGTCACAGACAGCTGAAGCTAGCAAAAGGGGCAAAAGACAACACGTTAACAAGGCCAACGTAGGTAAAATATCAGTCGATCGGGATCACCAGCAATTCTTGACGACTTTCGCGGAGGGCAGTTGTGGCTACGGGGGATCAACACCAACTCATACCACTGGGGGTTCAAGCGACCGAGATAAAACATGGCACGCCAGAGCTCCTTTCGCGCAAGCTGGAGACCTCATTTGCTTATTACCCAGTGATACAAAACGCAATAGTAATAGAATAACAAATTATCTGACAACATCTAGCTGAATATTATGTTTATGACTAGGAATTCCTCTGGTTTTGTGTCGGATTTCGATCGAGGCTTTGAGTGCTATGTTTTATTCCAGCCATAAGAGGATCAACCAGCCCCTCCAGAGACGCGCATTTCCTGGTGTAGGCCTAAAGATTCATCGACTACTCCATACACATCTACGGTAGAATTCTAGGCTTCAATATTTCGTTCCTTGAGATCACAAGAGCGGAGCGAAGTCTCCAAGTTGCATGTTCTCAGCCCAAACCCGACCCCCTGAAAACGATTTACGTGACATCCAGCGTGTTCGTTCGTGGTGATCGTTCGTCAAGCCGTCTTACGCATCGAAGTAGACATAGAGAATGATCAAGACCTGTCCCAACTTGATCGTGGACGAATTTGACTCCTCCTTCAGGGTTTTAAGCTTGGTTATACCCGTAGAGAGATGTGTGTAGAAACAAGCGACGACCCGAAGAGTTACTCGGAGCCCAGCTTGCACCTACAACAAGTTCCATAGACTATAACTTTGCTTCTCTTGTACAAATTACACAGATCTAGTCATCGAGTAGCTCGCGTAATCGTTTCGTATCGTTGTCTCGAGTGAGCGGGCAATGTTTTCGACGTGGACTCGGCCGTGTTGCTTCCCCAGGTTTAGCAGATTCTCTCCCGTGGCAATGGAACCAGGATACACTCTTGCGACCCGATCTCTCTTGTAACCTCTCGTAACGGATCGTTCCGAATTCTTAACTGTCGACAGAGAAAAGACAAGGAGAAGGAGAGTTTCACGCCAAGTCGACACTCCCCCAACCGCAGGGACCTTCGGGCCGTTTCGAACCGCCCAGGAGCTCGCGTGCTTACAAGAAGATTTTGCGGCTGAGACTACACTTTCTCCTCTCTGGTCCTTCCATGCGGCAACGCCATGCTACATCACCCCACCCCGGGGGCTAACAAACGCAACGCATCATCTTTTCCATACTCGACCAGATCTAACGTGTGTTCTAGCTCCCCCACTTCCGACGATGACAGAATGAACAATTTACTCGTTTTGGGTGGGAAGTTTAGCTCCGTCGAGCCTTCCTCCTAGCTCCCGGCGCGTTTGACGGATGGCGTCAACGGGTTCTACGAAGACGCCATTGAGGATTTAAAGGGGCCCGGCCGCTTGGGTCCCACCCCGAGCGGCTAGATTTTCCAACCCAAGTTCCTTCTGGATGAAGTCATTGGATTTGTTTATATTGACGGGAACTAATGTGATTACAAATGCAGAGGCTCGAGGGCTCCGATGCCCTCCTCCAGCTTGATGCGTCTTGGTTGTGTTGAAGCAGGAATATCAGAATAACCCCCCAGTGAGTTGGAAACCCCTTCTGAGGTACCTCGGAAAAAGACATGGCCCGAAAGAGTGAGAGACAAGGTAGGAGGATTTACGTTATTTCCAATTGATCATGACTTTGCTATTTTTTTTTGCTAGTTGCTACCTGTGCGGGATCCCAGTCCCCGTATATCCCAACGCTTCCCGATCGTCAGACACCACCCGGCCGTATTCCAAGAGCAGCCGGAACATGTATATCTGCATGTCCTCCTTCCGCAGGGCCTTCTTGGCCCAGTCCCGACCCTGCTCGGCGATCTTCTCCGCCATCTCGCTCCCCGTCTGTCTGAAACCCGCGTCGTCGACCACGACCTCGCTGCTCGAGAGGAAATCCAGGACGGCCCAGAACCCACGGCCGAGACGCGTGTCGACGGGGACGTAGTGCTGCCATTCCTGCAGCCGCTCGTCGAACCAGGTCAGAAACAGGGCAGCACGGTGCGGGAGGCTGCGGCTCTCGAGGAAGGGAATGAACCGCCCGCTGAAGCCCGCGCCGTCCATGTCGAGGAGATGCCGGTGGCGCCAGTGCTCCTCGAACGGCGCCGAGGCCCTGTCCAGGTCGTACCCCTCGCTGCCGTCCTCTGTCTGGTCCTCGGGCTTCACGGCGCCGCTCCACAGGTTGAACATCTCGAACTCCTGCCCGCAGTCTGGCGAGTCGCACCTGTGGATCTCCCCGGCAAACGACACGTTCACGCTCGGGGTGATGGCGTCGCGCTTGGCCTTCCCGGCCTCCTGATAGCTTTCGTGGACCGCTCGAGCACGTAGAAATCCCTTCCATGCCCCGTCCCTCGCTATCCCGTCCGAGCTCGAGCCGCGCCAGAACAGGCTGTTTCCCTTCCGCCCCCACTCAATATCCGTATCCTCCCTGTACTCCGTCTTGTCGACGAAATTCCACGGCGAGGGGAACAGAATGTCCGCGAATCCGTCCACGCGGGCCTGGCTGAAAATGGGGAACAGCGTCTTCGTAGTTGCCTGTGACTGTGACCTGACAAAGCCATTCAGGTGCGCCAGATCAGGCTGGTAGCAGATTCCCTGCGGTGAGGGGTTGTGTGCCATCACGGCCCCGCTGGTGGTCAGTTCGGAGTGCGGCTTGATGCAGTCCATGCAGAGAGTACTCCAATCCCACCATCTGCTCTTGTGTGCCACCGACTCGGGCGGGCACGCGTCGGCGATCCACTTGTAGTAAAGCTGTTTGTGTATGTTGTTGACGAAGTGCGACGACATGGCGAAGGAGTTGTCTCGGTTCTTTCGAGGTTCCGGGAAGTCCTGCGGCCACTCCGTGTTGTTCGTCCACGTCCTGAATGGTCCCCCTTCCACATTCCTGTCCTCCTGCAGGTCCTTCCATCGTTGTGCGACCTTGTTCTGTGCGGCTCTTCCCTTTGGCCTTACGTCCCAGATATCATCGTACGGTGGCAGGACGCGGCATTCATCTGCAAGGTTAATCACAAAGTCCATGTCGGGCAAGTACTGAATGAATGGCTCCATCATCTTCTCGATCGAATCCGTCATCCAGTGGTGGGTTCCTGGGATATGAGGCGACTGCCTCAGCGTGCCATTCCTGATCTGCAGGGCGGCCATGCCTAGGTCCGGGAACTCGAACAGGTGAGCGGTGCGAGCGCGGATCTCGGCTGGTTCGAGGCCCCAGAATGGGATCAGGTCGTCGAATATCTGGCCGAAAGAATCGATCACCTGTGAGCTGCGGTTCATAGCGAACTCGTACCATTTGTCGAAGTTGGGGGGCGGAGGTAGGAAGTGCCGATCCTGGTAATGCGTGACGGCCTCGTCGAGTGTTTTGCTCATCTTCGCCTGGGACTCCCACAGCTCTGCTGAGGATTGTGCTGCGTGGGTAAGTCCTCTAACAGAAGCAGGGAGAGAGACATGTGTCTTGTCAGTGGAAAAGAAGACGGAGAAGGTAAGAAACAGGGCAACTGCTGCCATGTACCCGAGGACCAGGCAGCGATGCAGGAGCACGGTCGTAGGGGAGCGAGAAGCCGATTTGGAGTAG